ATTTCTAATCTGTTCCGCTCACTTGTAGATATGCCAAGCGGTTTAGCGCTTATGGATTTCGGTTTCTGTTTTCCTTGTGAAAGAGCCCTCACGAGTCTAAGAAGGGTTTTTTGTTTTGATATAAATGAAAATTATCTTTGGTAACGTTCGCACAACACCTCATATTGTAGGAGAAAAATTGCAGAAATTTTATCCTTGATTACCGAAGCGATAGTGAAGGCAGTTTATAAGGAAAATCAATTATTGCTGGATTGTTTTGTCAAGTGTGTCGGTGTTTTTATTAAGCGTATTAGTTGTTTCCATCTTATTTATCTTGGTGATGGATTCGAAATTGTGAAGACACTTCAACTTGAGATTTGCGAACAGCATCACCGTATAGTCATTTAGCAGATTATGAATAATATTGATACACTATACGAAACGAAATTACTGAAGCATGATGTAAGGAGAATTACTCAGTGAAGCGGATCCGATTTCGGCACTAGATTCAAAATGGAGCTAGTGTAACACGTGGAATGAGACGGTAAGTACACTATATTTAACGTGATGTAGGTGTTTTTGAAGTATGAAAGAATCGTATGAAATGCGTTAAGGTTCGTATTTATCTGTGTTGTAAGTTGTTAAACATATCGAATGAATGTTTACAAGGACAGTTGGAAGCAGTGCAGCTCGAGTTCTCGACAGCAGTAATTGCAATTTGTGTACAATGAAGTGATGGCTCACTGTGCTATCTTCTTACTGACCAAAGTTTCTCTTGTAAGGAACAAAAATTAGCCTTAATTGCTTTTTATTCTAATTTTTGATTGATATTTCATACGTCAATCGCAGCTGGGAACTGAATTTCTGAAACTGACGGGTTACGGTAGTAGGGAAGTAGACGAGAAGGGGAAGCGGCTCAGTCCTAAGCATTTCAATCTTTTTAAAAAGAAAGACAAGCCTGAAATTCGCCCTCCCAAAATCATTTTCCCTTCGCTCTCTCCACTTGTTTATAAGTAAAAGTGCATCTTTTCCTTTGTTAGCTTTGTAGCCTTTCAAATTTTTTATTCATTTTCCCAGCGGCAATTTTTTTTGCTAGGAACTGCTTTCGTTTCTCAGTCACTCACTCATACACTGATATAGCTGGGGGGAGGGGAAAGTTTAATGGTGAATTTCTTATTTAAAGGAAAGATTTGAACAATATTGTGAACAGAGCAGAAAGGGATGCGTGCAGATAGAGGAAGAGAGGAAGGGAATGGGACAGAGTTCGGAGTACCGTCATCGTCATTGGATGAGAGGGGAAGCTATCAGGGTGAGGCCACTATAGTCTCTCCCTGTTTCACTGCAAACTCGTTATTTCTGAGGGGCTTTTTACGGGCGATGACATATGACTGCTGTTCTCTCATATAATACTCTCTAGTCTCAGTCGCTTTTCCTTGCAACCGTCCAACTTTAGAACACTATCTCGTGAGTGTTTGTATAGAGTTGAGTGTCTTCCATTGGTTCAGTGGCATTCGAGCGATTCAGTGCAGAGAAAGAGATCGGCCCCTCGGTACATTTTCTTCGATTCATTTACTGAGCATCATTGGGTAGTCAACGAGCAACAACAGCGCAGCAGTAACTCTTCCGTTCCACAAGCGCCCATCCCTTGGGGGACATCCATCGTGAATATGGCCCTTCTATCGCTCCATCTAGTGCACCCAATTGGCGTCTTCGTGTAGATGCCATATCCCTTCCCAACAAATATATACATACACATACACACATGCATGCACATATGCACACACTCACATACACACATACTCGCTCACTCACCGTTATCCATCCATCCATCTCAGTATCGACGCACTACCATTCACTATACCCAACTCCTCATACCCGTATCATTCTATCGAGACACACATGAGTGAAGGACGTGATGTGGAGGAGGGGACCGAGTCGAATAAATTGTTCATCAGGCTGGCCTACATGTTGAAATGTAGAAAAACGTGGACAAAAAAGAGACAGTACATCACACGTTTGGTTCGCTCTTTATCTGGCTATCATAATTGCTACAGTGCATCTGTCCTGATCATGATAACAGTCATTCATATATACATTATATATATATAAATATATAGCAACGTGCTTGCTTATGCATACATTATTGTCGAATAATGAGGACTATGTTGACATGATATTATGAGGATGAGGCGCCAAAAGTTAACAGATGCGCAATCATCTTTCAGCATTACTTGTATATGAGTAGTTGCGTTAGTTTTTAACTTATCAGCAAGAATTGTATTGATTTGATCTTTCATTTCATTCAGGCATTGCTTGTAAGCGTTCAGAAGCTGTCAAACTTCACTTAGCAGTATAATTTTAAAAATACTAAGTGGGGAATACAATACTTATGTGAAATGTTGCATTTTGGTGGTAATAAACAGAGCGGTTTTACTGTGAATATGATGAAATTACCGCTAGTTACCTACTGACCTTTGCTTGCTGTTTCAGAGTTGTGTACCAAGCAGTCTCCCGTGAATTAACGGAATTTTTCACTTTTTGGAGTTAAGGTAATGATTCCATTAGGTACAACAGCATTTAGATGTGGGGAAGCATATAGGGGAAAGTGGAGAGGATGTGGAAGACCAATAACAGCCGAGTAATTTATCAGTGGCGTTTATTATCAATGGTATCGTGACGTGTTTTTTAGTCTTACACAGAAAATAAAACAATTATTGATGAAGTTCAAGGTTTGAAAAGATGTTTGTCTATTAGGGTATGAGGTTATTGCTAAAAGTTACACGCTGCGTATTCTTTATAATTAATCGAATCAGCAGGATGACAGAATTGGGGTTCGAGGTCTGTTTTTTGTTAATCAAGAAATGTCTTTTTTGAATGTGTGTTGAATTCTTCCATATGTGGAATGTTTTCGTCAAAATAGCTTATGATGTGAAGTGTATTACACTATCAAGAAACATAGATCGAGGTCAATTGTAGTTTGGAAAGAATGAATTTTGGATGTTATGAGAAGATCTGTTGTTTCAAAATTCGTTCATTCAGAATTTAGTGGAATATAGTGAAGTAGATAGGAACGGTAGTGTTTCATGTATATTGTTTTGAGCCTTTAATCGTTATACTTCGGTATGGTTTCCATTTATTATATATATATATGTGTGTGGCTCGTAATCAATGTATTGAAAACATCACAGAAAGCAGTAAATGTAAGCTATGGAACATTTCAAAGTTGTGGACAGGAAATAGCATGATGTAGAATTATTTCTAGCTGCCGTTTCACTTTGGAAACGAGGAATTTATTGCTTGTTGGGGAATTCCCATGCACTTTTGTTTGATTGTTTAAAAGAAAGAATGAGAGAAGGTTTGAAGTCGGAAACACGTGGTCATATAAAGTGTATATGATGCGGGGTAGGGATAGGGGATGGTTTTGGGTCGTTGATGTTCTTAGGGAGATGGGAATAATTTGTATGTATGATATGACGATCATCAGATGGTTGTAGGGTGGGAGATGGATAAGAAGCTATAAGGAAGGGGTGCGAAGAAAGTATATGTTAATAAATAATTGCACTTCCGTAAGACTAGTGGCTTAGGTATTGCCAAAATGCAAAACCTAGTGATGTCGTCATCAAAAAATCATTTCAATAAAGGACACTTATTGAAGAGACGAGAAGAGTGGGGGAGTTCGACGGATGTTTTTTTTTCCACTAATTGTTTTCCCTGCTCACTGTATTTATCGTTTTGAGTCAAGAAGTTAACGAGGTTAAGTGATGGATTTGAGCATTCTCGCTTCAAATTTTTGAACTTATTTTTGCATTAAAAGGGACTTATAGACAAATAAAGAGGACGCTGGCTATATGAGGTTAAGGGTGATTAGGAATATCGTCTTACAATGAAATTTATTGTCCAGTTACTTTCGTCTTGTCTCATGTAGCTGCACGATATTCAAGAAATGTTGTGTTTTAGTTCAAATTTTCCGTTTGACTTGGCTTAGTTAGAGCAATCTTTTTCAGAAAGTGAGGAATCAATTCCAAACTTTTTGCAGCAACCGTCACCACTTGCGAATGGTAGCTATGGCAGCCCAGGGTCTGTCAGTCTTCAAAAAGGTGGTGTGAAAGGAAAGGTGACCGGAAGACCGGATTCGCGAGATGTTGTGTTTTCACCGGCTGCTGGTCAGGGTGGACCATCATCGCAAATACCTTTACACATACAGAATTCGCCAGTTGGCACTTCATTACCCGGCGCTGTCCGAATGGAAGTGCCTTCATCTAGTTCTACACTGGGTAACTGTTACATTTGGTCTATTTCTGTTCATCAATTTTAGTAACTCGCTAAAATTATTTCAGAGTAGGTTAGAGCTGCAACGGAACCATTGTTTGGTTGGCCGTAATTTCTGCCCAATTCAACTTTACTGTTATAACTTTACTGTTGAGGAAAATGTTCGGTCTTTTGGAACCAAACACTCTGTCAGGCTAGAAAAACTTACTGTAGCCAGTTATGACCGAATACTAACTATTCGGAAAATTCAACTTAACAGTTTTTTACTTTCAGGACCGCAACAAATGCAACAACAGGTGCCTAATCAACAGAGTATTATGGGTCAGGTGCCACCTTCTGGTTTGTTTTTGTATTTTTCTGAAATTGAATTTTGAATCAGGATAACGGGAATTTCACTTCTGGTTCAAGTATAACGAAATTAAAACTTTACGTTTCCTGCAGCTTATTCGGCCGGTATGTACCCGTCTTATTGGCCGCCACAGCAGATGCGCTATATACAACCAGGAAATTTACATCCCAGTCATTATTATCCAGTACAGAACCAAGGTCCCATGCCACCATCAGGTAATTTGGGTTTATAATTCTATGCGAAAGCCCGCGGGTTCAAGCAGTGACTAAAATGTTATAATATATTTTTCAGCCTTTACCGGATATGGTATGCCACCAGGAGTACGCCAAATGATGCCAGCAAGTTCAGCTAAAATGCAGCAACCAACACAAATGGAAATGACACGTATGCCGAATGGACCAGTGCCATCTGACTGGCAGTCCAGGATAACTACTCCAAAATCTCTTCCGGTGGGTGCTAACGAAAGTTTGTTCGAAATATTCACAAGGAAAATTTCAGTGTACTTACCAAGTCTATTCATACGTTAAAATAATTTCCTCCATCTGTCAGTCATCTGTTTATTATTAAGGTAATTTAAGACTAAGTGGATCTTACTCGATCATCATTTTTCCTCTAATACAAAACGTAAACATTAAATTTAGATTATATTCCCTTTTTTTTTGCAGGAAGCAATACAGCAAACTACTTCTGGACAGCAGTCATTGACTCCGTCATCTGGAATACCAGCACCGAGTCCTGGGGGTACCTCTTCAGCTGCCGATGAATCGTTAGAGGATTCCAAATCTTTACCCGGTGCTTCACCGAATCCATGGCCTCATACGCCGTCACAGATGAGTCAAGGACATGTAAGTCTTTGTTTTGGAATTTTGAGATCTTAGCTTCAGCATCTTAACTTTGTAATTGCGTTTTTTGCTTATAGAGGACTCCGGTGCCTACAAATCGACCGAATACACCCACAGTGAACAAACGACAAGATCCAACGTCCATTATTGATAGACTAGTAAGTTTGCTTCCTTGGTTATTGAGGAGGCTGATTTTTACATTTGATTTTCCTTACATTTAGTTAGAATTGCTAGAACTGAATTATCTACGAAGTTAGGAAATTAACCACGGGATGGAACATGGAAAATTTTGAAGATAGGATTTCCGAAAAATTTCCGATGTTATTTTCAGGTAGGACCTGTAACTGCAATGAATCCGCAGCATATTATGCCTGAAAGGAGAGCTTTTTTCGAAAAATTGGTCCAATTCTGTGAACAGCAGGTACAAATTCATTTATCGGTAAGAAAGTTGCAAGGACAGATGTTGTTCTATGCAATCCGCCAGAATGCTATTGATCCGTAAATGCTATGTTGAGCAAATTTTCTTCTAAATGTGGTCAAATAAACACTCCGATCCTTTGAGTAGTCGTCGTCCAATTTTTTCATTTTTTTAGGGCGAACCAATCACGCAGGTTCCGCAGGTTTCAAAACAAACCGTTGATTTGCATCGTCTTTACCTAGCTGTGATGAAACGTGGTGGTTTTGAGCAGGTAACTGACATAATAGCATCATCTTTTGAAGCTCCGTTTTATTTTACTAATTTCATGTGTCGTGCATATTCCACATCCTTCCAACATCCGTTCTTCTTTTTGATTTTGGTAATGATATCAATAAAAATCTGAGAAATTCTGCTTCATATTTTTTTCAAATGAGATTTTTCCTATTTGAAGTTCAATTTTTAATTATTCTTTTTCTTGTTTGAAATTCAATTTATAATTATTCCATTAGGTAACGCGCGATAAGACATGGAAACAAGTTTGTACAGAAGCAAATTCGGAGATGTCCGAATCGTCTGCAGCGGGTTACCAGTTAAGAAGACATTACCAGAAATATTTGCTAGGATTGGAATGTTTGGAGACGGGCAAGAATGCTAGTGAGGTGGTTGCATTTGCAGAGCGGTTGAAAAAGCGCCGAAAAGATAACAAGGATCATAGTGCGCAACAATATCCTGGGCCTGGTAGGCTTTAATTAGTATTTAGCATATATAGTAGAAAATCTAGTGGCAACTTCAGTGTTTATGCCGATTTTCAAATTTTCGGGCGTGTTTCGATAAGATTCGCCTTGAATTCTTAGTGGACCATACAGTTATGATTAGTTTGGATACAATCTTAAATCTTCCAATCACATGGCTATTATATCTGAAGTTAGGAGAGCTAAGTGTGTCGGGTATCAAACTCATGAGCCGATAAACGAAATTACTTTTCACAGATAATTAATTATGAGAAATTGGGAGATTAAAGAATTATTCACAAAATTAAAAGAAATGTAGAGAAAATACGATACCTCCGAACTCCTGTTAGGATACGTAATCCAAGATTTATAATTCGTTAGCTTTTCTGGAAACAGATGAAGCAAGTGCAGTGAGCGTTCATTAGGTCACGTTGTTTTGTTTTTCGCAGGCTTTTTACTTTGGTAAGAGCATTGATGACCGTTAACTCCAAAAACATTATTTCATATCTAAGCATTAATTCAATTCCATTACTTACGTTTTGTAAAAAGCACTTGAAAAACGGAAAGGGAAGATCAAGTTGGTAAGAATGTATTATAGGCCTCCTCGTTAACTCTGATGAAAAGTGAACTTATCTTGGGATTTTATTTCTGTGCTTACTTTTTTTTAATGAAAGCTCCGGAAAACATCATATCTTTTGCCTTTCTTTAGATCTGAAAAATAAGCATTTTATATGCTCAAAAAGATTTCACTCCACTTCTTTTTTCTTTCCGGCGTTTTCTGATAGTCAGAGATTGGGATAGTACTAGTCATAGATTAATCGTGCATGGCCCTTTCTTGTATACTTTCCTATCTTTTGATCGTTCTCTTTTTTTCTTTTGTTTCATCTGCTCCTTCGGCAGCATTCTGTATCTGTGACGTCATTAAGATTTTGTTTGCTTTGGCTCGTTGCCACTAGCGTATATTTTTCAAAGAACCATTATTCCCGTAACAAATTTACGACATTTTCTTTTATTTAAAAAGCTTTTTTCGACATGTGATAAACTCCAGTGAAAGGAAGGATTGGTTAGTTTGTTGCTTTTTTGCAACTGCTTCTGGAGATTATAAAGCTTTTATGGAATTTAATTCAATTGTTTCGAGTTCAGTGGAAGTTTATCGATAACATAAATTGGCACCACTTCTAATACTCTGGTATCTTGCGTCAAAAAATGTCGTTATCCGCGTTCAGTGTAAACCATATCCTTGTTTGCTTATCTGTTTGTTTCGTGTTTCTGCATCAAATTTAATCTGCGTTTTTGTATTTCCGAGAAGTGCTTCGATTCCTTGTAGGAATTCTTATTCTATTGATAAACCTTATTCCCCATTCATTTATTCTCTAAAAACTTATCTAGAGTGGAATGCGAGGTCTGTCATCGTGTCATTGTTAATCTTTTCTCATATTTTGCGATTAGAAGCGGTTGAAATTTGTAGAATTGGTTAGATCAATATCGACAGTATCGAATGTAAGGCCTTTATGGTCAAGCATATTTGTGTTTAGTTAACAGAGGAATCGGTTGAAATTTAATTCGTGGTATTATGAGGGACTGACTGATTGACAGTATCAACATCGAGTATTGAATTTTTTTAAGAGCGTTTTTCTGGCATCTCTTATTAGATGCATTAATGTGGGTTCGTGTGGGATGAAAGTTGAGAAAGGAATAAATAAGGATTCTGTTTATCATGAAATCACAGAATTTTGTGCTGGGTGCCAATCAAGGTTTTTGTTTAATTTAAGCATGAATAAGTTTTCATTCGATGAAAAATTAATCCAATACATAAGCTCTGATCATCGGGAAGATTATAGAAGGAGGAAGACCAACTATTGGTAGAAATACTCTGTATGTAAAGCTTTTTCTTGTCATATTCATTAAAATCTAGCCGAAGTCCAATAACATTCTATCTTTTGTTTGCAAGCTTTTTTTCACTTAAATACATAACTGATAAACATTTGAAAGGGTGGCGATGCTTCCCTTGTACCTGACCATTTCTTTGGCAATAACTTAGACAAATTTTTGAGATTTGAGTTGGCCATCGTTTATGGCAGTATTTTGTCAATGTCATCCAATTTAAGGTATTAACTGTGTAGTGGAGCTCTTATCGGTCAGAGTTTTTATGGCGAGAGTCTTCATTCTTTTGCTAAACTTTTCTAGCGAATAGGTTACTGTGGCTTGATTATTCTGTCTTTTTTTTTAATTTCAAGTAAAAATATGAATTAACAGATAATAAGGTAAAACGTTTGCTGTTTGTTTTTTCAGTACTTCATTTTTTTGTTTTTCTGTATTGCATTACGTCGATAGAGGGTTGTTCTATAATTCGAAATTTTAAAAATCCTTGCTGCAGAAATGCGTGAGGTAGTATTTGGGAGGATGGAGAGGTAGATATAGGAGAACAAAAATGCGGTGAAACTATTACTGCTTCAAACTGACGCAATAATATTGGTTTTTTATAGTTTGCTATTGGGATAAATCTTGCAAATGTGACTGTGGTCAATATGGATTTTTTTGCATAATAACTTATTGTTTACTGTTCATTTCATGCTTATAGAAATCATACCAAAGAAAAAGTGAATTAGAGTGGTGAATTCAAAAATGGATCATGAAACAGTATTAATGTCACCATGATTTAGGAAATGACCTACTAATAATGTACGGTGAAAACATAATTCAAATTGAAGATGAAATGGTGACGGTTATTAAAAGTTAATATTGCTTAGCTGGAAATTTATGCTTATTCTGGAACTGAAAAAAAAATTAGTTATACGATTGCCTTTAATTGTATGATATTTAAGCAAACTTGAGAGGTGAGAAAGTTCGACAATTAAGTTTTGCTCTGTGAACCGATTCACAATCAGCAAAATTGTTCATTTTGAAGTGCATTCAGTCCAAGCAGCAACAACAAACCATTTTTCGATTTAATTTTTCTGTATTAGGCGATGACTACTTCAGTGGCTGGACGAAGAAGAAGCTTCAAAGTATTTTTCAGAACGAACTTGCTCTGAGAAGTATTCATCTGAGAAGTGTGTTCAAAATATCGATGAGACTCACAGAAGATTATATTCAGCTGGTACCGCTCAACAGAAAGGTTATAACCTTTTTCCACGCAAACATAGATGCTTCAAAAGTTGGATGAAATGGGAAATTTGTTTCATTGTTGTATTCATTCTTTTTTCTCGCTAACTGATTACTATTTTCTTGATCATCGTGAAAAGTTTTGCGCAGACTTCTACAAACAAAATGCAGGGAATGCTTTGCAAGAGTTGATCGAATTCTAAAACACAGATTCTGAAGCGAAAGAAGCTGTTCTCTGGATCAAAATTGTCATCTATCATTGGTGTTATTTGGTTAATAAGGATTTGCTCAGCACATTAAGTTAAGGTTTATAACCCGAAACCATCAGTCAGATGAAAAATCAATCTTTCATCTGATTGATGCGATTTTGGGTTGTGAACTTTAACTATATTGGAGCTTCATAACAAGCGATGGAAAAACAGTAACATATATACAAACATGTGGATGGAAGAAAAAATGCTGCATCCAGTGAGGAATACAAAAAAGAAGCAAAAGAAAATGCGCTTCATTTCATTTAAGTTCTTATACTTCTTTACTTCTCTCGACAAGTTTCTATCTAAAAAAAAATCTCATGCTTAAAAGTGCAATGTTGATTTATTTTCCTAATCAACGAACAACTTTATTCCTTTTCTTTCAACTGGCGTTTTTTTACTGTTCTCAACTTTTGAACTATTTTAACTACTGTTATAATTAACTGCAGAGAAACTATTTTGAGATTCCGGATGAAGCTTATAGTTTTGGTAAGGAATTTGAGAATATATGGGACATTGCTACACACCGTTCTTTTTCTAATTGATATGGAATCTGAAATATTCCCTAAAGAAATGTTGGAAACTGCGAAGTCATAATTGTTGAATGTCGGGGAATTTCTGTTTTCAGAGTAGAGAAGTTTCAATTTCACAGGCTTTCGCAATTGAATTTTCGAATGATTTACCAATAATAACGTTGGAATAAGTGTATATTTGCAAGATGGCTGATAATTTTATAGAAGGATTTAGTGCCTATGATTGCCGTTCTGCGTTATGGTTCGTTATAGTTAGCTTTTATGCATCCAACCTTGAGCAAGTTAATATTTATTAATGTTTTCTGTCGTTCGATTCAATGAAGACATTACATAATGCTATGTGTTCTGCATCTTAGGACCAGAAAGGATAGCGACAGTTCGAGTCGATCAGGCTTTTCTTTGTTGTTAACAAAATACTAAGGAAATTATGCAAGATAGCACTTTCATTTTTTCAAGAAGTATTATAGACAGGACACTGCTTTAAAGTTTTGTTTCTCAGTCCCTTGTTTCGCAGTTATATCTACTGTTTCATGTTCCATGCATTCATCTTTCTACAGCTGTTACATTAAGGAAGCCAAAGCAACGAAACAAATCTTGGCGTCCTCTGAGCAGGCTTTGAACTTAGTACATTTCTTTGAACAACAATCGTTGCTTTAGTCGTTATCTTCATCTATTTTTTTCTCGTCATAGCCGTTGGAGAAACGCATGTCTGTCTGTCCTAAAGCTATCGCTATCGAAAATTGAATTATTGTACTATAGTTTAGGCAAATGCTAGTAGGTAAAAAGAAGGGGCTGCAGCAGTGTCGGTAATAGCAACATTATGGAGGAGAGATATGGAACGGAATGATTTTGGTTCTCATCTGGCTGCACGTGCTATAGTGGAGCTATACTCTAGGCCGCTCTGGGGGTATTTTTTTTTCTTTATTCTGCGTGAATGTATTTTCTAGCTCGAGAATCGCAAACTGGCTAATCTGTTGTTCCAACTAATAGTGTCGACACACTTCGCGCTTAAACTTAACTGGAAATATTCGAGGGTAAAACTACTATTTTTGGAATGAAAGTTTGGAAGAAAACAGTAACGACGGATTGTGGAAGCAAATTTACAAATCAGTATGAACAATTTAAAGCGTTTTGTATGTCGAAATAGTTAAACCAGTGGAATGTGTTTCTCGTTTTTGGAATTTTCTCCATTTTAGTAATAGTTTCCAGTTGAAGGAAAAGATCTTAGAATTTTCTGCTAATATTGGAGCTGTTTTAAACTGGCTGCTTAAATAATGTTTATGTAGAAACTCATTTTCGACTGGCCTCAGCAATATCGTTCGTTTTTTACTTTTCACGTTTTCTGGAAGAGTTTTTCTGACACCTATTGTCATCAAAGAATATTTCTGTTAAAGTGAAAATGTATTTGTGAGAAAGAGTAATGATGTGATCAACTACAAATTTACAAATCAGTTGCTTTTCTCCACTACCCACTTTTTTTGCATTTGTTCCATTTCAATTAATGATTATTGCTGTATGTCATTCCCATTGCAGTGAATACACTAATATGTATTCATATTACTATTAATAATTTGTGCAACTTATTATCCATTATGACGCAGAAAACTTTGTTCTTAACTCTACTATCTCCAAAAATTGTTTTTGCTTATGCCGATAATGCTAGAACAAAATCACATTGTCCTTATTAACCTTTACAGTGTCTTAATTTTTGATTGATAAGAGGAAACTTCAGTTGGAGTTTCAATTAATTCCCTTGTATACAACAGGAATCATCCTGTATGTTCTCTGCATCAATTTTATAATCTGGAGCAGATTGTTCTCCTTCCACCAGCCTGGCTATTTTCGACATTGCTCAGAACTACCGCTTCGGTTTTCACTGTCGCCTTTGGTATCTCTCAGCAACAGTGCTTTCATCGAAATACTGCAAATAACGGGCAATCTTGTACTTCATCGTGCTAATCTTGTACGTCATTTTCACAAAATTCGTCTTTTTCCGATATCTACGGTATGCAAAAGCAGTGCAGTACTTCAGATGTGATACCTTACAACTCATTAATGTTAATGCACCCCGTACTCCAGTATACGTTGCACTGCTATCAACAACAGCGATATTGTGTAGAGCTGTCGAAGCTTCATAGAAATCAGCAAAATGTACCTATATGGAGGTAACAAGCGGGATCGTCATATCTGAATAAACTGGATTTCCATCTGTTGAATTATGAAGTGCAATTGATTTATGGAAGCTTTCAGATTTGCAGTGTTTGGGAGAGGTTTTTTTTTTTGGCAATTTTTTTATTAATGCTTCAACTGAAGTGAATACTGATTGGATTATATGCGGAATCAATTCTAGGCTTGTAGACAGGCCGAGGAAAAAAATCTGGGAATGTAAATATCATTAATAGAATTCTATTCATCTATTATAAAACTGCAAATACTAGAAGACAGGTTAAATCAGTAGAAATAAAATAAATTTTTAAAGATAATCCAAAAACTTTTTTCTCTTTTTGGATATATAGAACTTCTAAAGTAATTCTCTGAAATTGATTGGTTGCAAAAGTTTGGTGTTTCGGGTTACCTTGCGAATAACAAAGAACTGATTTGAATCGTTTTGTTTCCGTTCAAAGCGGACTTGAACTTCGAGATTTCTTGTGGATCGCATGAGGTGTATGATTCAATGCACTGCACGCAGTTCCTGAGGCTTTGGGAATTGTTACGAGTACTTGGAAAAAAACTTTAAAAATATAAATACTGCTGACGATATATGTTAAATTTACAATATCTACTACTCCAGTTGTTAGATTACGTTCCTTTTTAGAACCGCATTCTCTCTTAGTTGTGACGAGATTGTATGTCATGAAATTTCTTCTGTTTCTTTACTATATCGGTCTAAATTGCTTATTGAGTTCATGCATCGTTATTATTTAATCTTTATAGCTACTACAATATATTCGTTAAGGTCTAAACTCGCTTTTAGTAGGTAGGTGGTGATTGTCTTGTTGAGATAAGAGAATGTTTAAATCATGCGTTAATGCATAATAGTGACGTGGCACTATGTTTTTTATTTTGTTTGAACTTCTGAATGGATAGCAAAAGCATTTATAATAGAATCGTCCTATCTTTCATTTGGCTTTTTTCGTTTTTGTTCACATTCATTGAAGTTTTACCCTTTTTTGACATCAATTTTTTTTTGGTGTTTCTAAATTTATTTCAATCGTTATCTTGGTAATTACTATTATTTTTGACCGCTTGCTGTCTTGTAATCCAGAACAATCTCATTGTGGATTCTGATAACGTAATACGTAGAATCTCTTCAATATGAAGTTTTAAATAGTTCCAATATATCGGTAATTGAATTATAAAAGTGTTCAGTTTAATTAGGAAAGGAGCAGAGGACTGAAGCGGCTTTCTGACTTTTATTTTCTAATATAAGTTTTTTAATTTCACACAAATTTTGAAATAAGCGGAATTCACTTTTCAAATCTGTATTTTGTCTGGAAAGAAGGATTTGGTTTTTCCATTGCCATAGTACAGAGGAATCACAACACTGGACAATTTTTATGCCCTATTTCACACTTGAGACCTTAGCACATTTTTTTTTTAAGTGAAAAAGTATACATTTTCTACTTTTCTTTTTTCATTAACTACCATGTGTATGGCGTATATTTGTTTGCACGCTCATATGGAGTTTGTAGCTATGTTCTGAGGCCTAAACAGATAGCAGATATCCAATAGCTGAAAAGCGGCATTTGCGGCAACATATGCTTCATTAGTGCATAAGGAGAATATTTGCATTATTTGGTACAATGTAACTAACTACTTGCATTGTGGATTTTTCTTGAAATTTGATTTTACTAGGTTTTCCATTTTGTTTAATGTTCTGTCAGAATTTAAGATTAAAGCAACTTCAGGCCAGCCAGGTCCGGCAGGATATGGTCATTTGGGAGATGCAAATTCAGCTTACTTCTACGGCAACGTGGATGCGAGCATGCAAGGACGACTGCAAGGCCCAGTCGGTTGGCAACCTCAGGGTTATCCACCTGGTCCTGCCGTCACTGGTCCACCAGGTGCTCCCATATATCACCATGGTATACGACCTAGTGCTCCAATGCGACCGCCTTTGCCACCCCAAATGATGCAGGTAAAGTTTAATTTTCGTCCCATGATTTTTCCTTCCTTCCATTTTAGATTCAGCAGTCTGGAAAGGTGCCATAATGCAAAATCAATTGGTGATAGGAATTTATCGGCTTTGTGTTAGCATCTCATAAGCATCAATTCTTTTTGAACATGAAATAAGTTGTACGTAATCATATTTCAGCAAAGTCCAGTAATAGATGAGCATCAGAGGTACGAGGAACAGCAGCGGCAGCATTATTTCCATCAGCAACAAGCAGCATATGCTGTCCAGCAACAATTACCGCGTACGACGACTCCTTCATCAACCTTGCAAGTCAGTTCAGAATTTTTATTCATTCTGGAAAGGAAAAAACATTTTTTTGTTTTATTATCATTACTGATGCTAAATAACCCATTGTGTTGATATAAAAATTGATTCGTCGGAGATCAGATAATTGTACTTATCTTTTTAGCCGGTAGTTTGAACTTTTTCCATGCTTTTTTCTGTACTGTTGATATGTATGTTTGAACTTAATAGAAGTTCATTCTTTAGTGAAGTGTTTGGGTGCTACGTTAACTCGTATTATTTATTCCATATTCAGGTTGACAATCAGCAGAGTCAAGGTTCACAAAGTCGAGCACCAAGTGCAGGTCCACCATTAGCTACAACTCCAGATAGTAGTAGCAGACAGTCAGCTGAAGACAATATGCCCTTACGGTCACCAAGTCATCCACAACAAGTAGCAAATGCAACAGCCTCTTGTAGCATCCCACCATCTGGACCCTTACAACAGCAGCCTTCTGGTTAGTTATTTGTGTCAAATTCTGGTAAGCTCAAGTTCTTACAGCTGTTTTGCTAGCGTCTTAGATCAGTGCTATAAAGAAAATTTTACATTGTTGCGCTAGCAAAATGATAGTAGTTAGATCTCATGACATTATTATTAAAACTGTTATTTTTTAAGCTTTTACTTTTTAATTACATTTATCCTCAAACTTATCTTTTTGTAGTACCATATTATGGGCAACCTCACACACCTCAAATGTATGGTGCAGGGGGCTTGCGTCCAGGTGCTGGGCCACCCGGAACGCTATCAATGAAAGCTAGTACTTATCACCAAGCTTATCCGCAATCTCAGCCCGGATACTCCGCTCATAATTATCAGGAAGGCTACCAAACAATACATCCTGGAGTAGCAACTCAAATGTACCAACAACAGGTCATTTTTGCATTTATTTGTATCTCACTAACCCATCTAGTCGTTGAATAAATCAATTTAAAGTTCATTACAGATGTGGAACTCGCAACAAATGCAGAGGTATTCAGGACCTCATACAAATATACCAACTTCATCCGCTATGGGAAACGCCCAAATGGGTGCGGCAATGGTACCACGGGTTTCCGGAACTCTACCTCCTGAAATGCAGCAGCATTATGCTGCAAGACGGCCGCCCTTTTGTTTACAAACACCTGGGCCAGCTATAGCTTCTGCTGTTCCGGGAACAACTACTCGGTTAAGGGTTAGTTTTACGATGTTAACATCACTGTAACAGTAATATTGTTAAAGGAAGCCCACGTCACCACGTAAACCGTACTACATTAAAAGCGTCAATAAGATTTTTTATTAAAATCTGAGAAAAATAAGTGAATAGAAAATATATCAGCGTCCTTTGTTTAGGAATATCTGCATTGTACCTATGCTAAATGTTTTACTAGTTAGATTATTCCTATAATGGTGCATTCATTAACACAGTTATTATAAAGTTCCTAAATAAGGACATAGACTTATTCTTTTCATTTACTCTGGATTAACAGACTGTTGAAACCGAGAAAAAATTGCAGTATACGGCTCCACCGACTAATTCGGCAACACATCAACAGTTGCAGCCGCAGTATCCATCTCATCCCGTGCAGGTATTATTGATTTTACCGAATCTTTCAGAATATGCAAATTTTCGCTTTAAGTGTTTGGTAAGACTTTTGATGACTTATCAACATTGCAAATGTGTTTATGAGATGAAGTGTTAGGTTGTCTTCATATATTGCGCTTTTTCTCTTGTGTTATCTGTTCCTATTGTTATAACATTGTTTGCGCATGTCAAAAGATGGTGTTTCTTTATGTTGCAGGGGAGTCGCGTAGTTGGTACATCGTCAAGTCCCTTTCCGCTTATAGGGCCATCGACATCAACAGGTTTCACAGGAATACATGGTACAACTGGATCGTTGGGGCAGTCAGCGTCAAGTCTAAATGTTCTACCTAGTGGCATGCATACGCCCAATGCTACTTCAGGTCCGGGTACGACTGTGGCTACAGTTATGCATCCTTCATTTACCCAATTTACTCAGCCTCAACCTATGCAGTTTCCAGCGGGTAGTGTTGAAGCAACAACAATCAGTCAAAGAAGGAGACGGAAATTGGTGATGAAGGATTTGATGCGGGTAAGTCAAAATCGTTTAACACATGCCCTCTTTTTTTTAGTAAATCGAGAGTTGTATATTTTCTGTTTTGTAGGTGAGCACGAAACGTATAATGATGGCTTTACGCAGCGGTTTAGAAACGGAAGCAACATGGGCACTGAATGCATTGAATGTTATGCTCTACGACGACTGCGCTCCACCAACAATGTTGAATCACACCCCTGGACTTTTGAACGTGCTCATTGAGCATTTCAGGGCACTGTTATCTCTTCTTTATTCCAAAGTATTCGAGGTATTTTTGCTCTCAGAAGTTATCGCTTAAATTCTTTTTAGTTGTAATCAAGCTGCCATTCTTGAATATTAGAAATCTCCTGATTAGCGAGCAAAATTAGAAAACTGATCAACTCTGAAACGTGATTGTTGGTCATTTAGTCTGAAATGTTGCGATTTACACTTATATTCCTTATGAAGTTTGTTAAAGGTTTTGTTGTCATCTCAATGATATATTTTCCAGGTAGGTGCAGAATCTAAAGCACGAACAACAGATGATGAATATGATGAGTTTTGGATACAGTCTTCAAAATTAGAGCGTACGACAGCACCTTCATTGGTTGCATCACGTAGCTTAAAAAATGAACCAACAAATTTCACAGAGATATCACGTACAGGTCGATTTTATAAATGAATTAAATGCTTAATTTGGTCAAACGTTGATATTTGTTATTAACCAATCAGCGGGTTGATAAAATTAAAAAAAAAAACACATTCCACAAAACGTTTAGAAAAATCCTTAGAATTTGATGAGAATTTTTATGACTAACTGAAGTGATGCAGACAGTATGTTGATGTTCGATGTTTCCATGCTTTATGAAATCTGTTTAGGTCGAACGGTGCACATTGAGAAAAAGGAACTGCCGGAATGGTTGAAACGTGCTAGGCCAAATGGATGGTCATGTGACATTGCGGACGGTACCGATATGTCTCAACTTTTAATAGAATTACTTGTAGATAGTTGTCACGCATATATCTCGCAGCCTTTACAAATTTTACAGCAGAATTGGTGTGCAGTAAGTAGGTGCCATGGAAAAGAGTGTGTTGTAAAGTGTTATGGTCGTCATTTCCCAAACGCCTCTAGTCATTGTCTTTGCGAATATTCAATACTCTTGTTTATTCCTTTCAATTTTTAGAAACTCTTTCAATGGACTATCACGAGTCGCGAATGTTAAGTGGATTAGGGGGCGAAACATCTTCATATCTGGCAGCTCGACTTAACACTGATATCGAGTTCAGGAAACAGCTAAAGAAACCGAAATTTTTCGTGAAAGAAGTGAATGGAATATCAAGGGTGGTTGAAGCTGACATCGATGAAGTAGCCTACTATAGTAAAATTGATAAGGTGGGTGAGCGCAATTCGATGATCTATTCATTGCCTTTATTTTATTTCTATGAAGTCGAAAGACCTTTTATTCTATCACGACTTCATCGTGACCTTTCTTCAAGTCTGTTTTTCATTTACTCTCTAATTGCCATCTGATAAATTAAAATATTTGCAGTCAATGCGAATCATCCCATCCGACATGGAAAAGTTTAGTGATGAGGATGAATACAAGAAGGTAGTGGAGCTGAAGACTATACGACCAACAGCACTTTGTGTCCGGGATGAATCGCGATTACACCTTGTAAGTTGTAATTAAGGAGAAATTTTACACCCTAAGCTTGTACCGTTCAATTAGGACTGAGACATATGATTGTAAGATTACTGTCTACTCATCTGAAGCGGAATTTGGTGAAAGCATGCGGAGATGAATGTCTTTTATAAAATTCCCGACTAGCTGTATAGTTTTTTATCATCGAAATCTTTTCCACTTATAGGTAAGGCGTTGCTTGGCAGTTTCGAATGTTCTGCGTGGCTTGTCCTTTTTGCCTGGTAATGAAGGGCCAATGGCGAGACATGCTGGTCTTTTGTATATCATTGGGAGACTGTTAAGACTTTATACGGACGAGAGAACGCTGAAATTGCCAGGATCGCTCGTGAAACAGTTATCAAAGAATGTGAGTTTCTTGCTTCCTAAATCAATTTTTAAATGTAACTCAATTCCAGCTTAACTAATTTATTATGATTTCATTCATCGTTCATGAATTACAAATATTGTTTGTTTAACCCTGCCCTTTAGAGGAGAAAACATTACCACTGAAACAATTCTTGTTGATCATCGGGAACCATTATAACGAGGGAACATCGTATTTTCAGGAGGAAATTCAACCAGTTTTAGCTGTCGGTACACTTTCGAAAGCAAATCGTCGTTTGATGGAGCCCGGAGATTTACTAGAATCAGATGATGACAATGCTTTATTGCTGTTTGAAACAGCTTGTCAGTTACGAGAAGATGCATTTGTTATTCTGGTGCATATTAGTGTTCAGGTATGCGTCTTTTAAACGACTGATTGTTTACTAACAAAATTTTGGAATTGTGTTTTTTTTAATCTGTGTTCCTTAAATATGCTTCGGATTTTCCAGCTGGATCTGATTGAGTTTGAGTCAGATGTTGCTTGGCCATTATTTGATGCACTTATCCATTGGTGTGTGAGCAAATGTGCAGAAGCGAAGGATCCATTCATTTCGGCTGGCGTGTCGCCGAGGTGCACTTTTTTCACGCATGATTAATTAATTAATTAGTTAATTTAATTCATGTGAAATCGTTCGCAGTATATTAGTTATTTTGTATATGGCGAATTCATTGGTGATATTTGCATATTGTTCTATTTACGTGAGTTTATTTGGCTAACGTGCAATGAATGACTAAATCGGATAGAACAAATTGAACTATCGTTATTGCATTGATTGTTTTAGTAGTGAACTTAGCATTCATCTGTTTTGCAATATATTACTTTAAAGGAACTATGCTTTGGAAGCCTTGTGCAAGCTGTCAGTAATTGAACATAATGTTGATCTTCTTCTCTCCACGGGTCCATGGTCGCGCTTGGAAAGTTTTATTAAAACGCTGGTCGGTTTGCTTGCTTTGAATGAAGAAATACCAAGCAGGTTGGTGATGTAGACTTTCCTATTCCGAAGTTTCATTTGATATGGGAAAAGTACTGATGACTCAATTGGTAACACAAGATTCGGATTTATGTGTACGGTTTTGAAACATACTCATAGAGAGTTATAGGATTAAGAGGAGTTAGAAGACAGTTTAAAAATTGGACAGGTGATCTATTTTTCGTTGTTTTGTTGTAACTCCTTCATTCATGCTATTTCTTATTTGCATTTTTGCTGACTTTTTTTGCTTTTTCAGGGAGTTTGCAATCGTCATACTTTGTGCTTTATGCACTATTTCCGAACCAACATGCTACGTCGTTGCTGCCGAATCGCCAGCTGTACATTATTTGGTGGCATTTCTTGAAATGGGTGATGCAAATATGCATCAGGTTTGCAATGAAATTATTTTGCTTTGGGGGTATTTTAAAAACAGGTAGGTTTTAGTGTGAATGCTACTGAGAAATAGTTCCTTTTTCCAGCGGAAAGTGCGAATATATTTCTGTTAGGAACTTAGACAAGAAGTGGAAAGCAGGTAGTCCTTCCCCCTTTTTTCAGAGCCAGTTATTCTGTTTGTTTACGTTCTTAAAGTTACTTTCAAAACATCGCCAGCTCATTTGGAATTGAAAGTAGCATTTCAGATTGCTCAGCAACACGGAATCCAAGCACTTCGAGACAATCCGGAGATGATGGGTACCTCAGTCCCTATGTTAAGGAGAGCGGCATCTATTCTTCAGCAGCTCTGTAAAGTACCAGCTTGCAGACAGCATCTTATTCGGCACCAGCAAAGGTTGCTGCAGTTCACAATGTCACATTTGGTATGTTTGTTGTTTGGTTATTGTCATTTGTTTATCGTGGTTTTTCTATCCCTAATTTGTGTTCAAATCGGTTTGGTCTAGTTAGAATGCTTTTAAATATGGTGATCATACTTAGATTAACTTTTTGACCTTTTCATGATGTCGCGTTGATTCAATTTTTAGTAAGTTCGCGAAAGTCTAAATTACTGCTGCAGATGGATTCTCGAGTAGGACAGACCATCACGAATGTCCTGTACGCAATGCAGTACTTTTCTGACAAAGAAAGGGAAAGCATTGAAAAGGGCGAAGAATCAGATGAAGAGAGTTGCCAACGAAAAGCAAGTAAAATCAGTGTAAGGACGAATGGTGATGTGAAATCTTTGAAAAATGAAGCAGAATCCAAAGATTTCCCTGAAAGTAGCTCCGTGAAACGTCCTGCTGAACACAATGGTCTTCCGAAAGGTATTTTTTCGTTTACATACATTTTCTGAATTTTTGAATGATTCGGTTCCGAAACTGAATCGAAATGTCATATGAAATTTGTGTCTATTTTCTATCGAATATAATTTTTCATATATATTTATATATGTAGCTCGTTTGGTCTTAGCTTATTAATGTAAGAGACTTCTTATTAATCGGTAAATTCCTGGAAAAATCAAGTTGCTACTTCGTTTTTTAGCATTAGTGGAAAACGCAGATAGTCATGGAGACTACTTGAGACAAACAAAGGATGATATATCGTCGCAAGCAGCAAAAAAGCAGAAACTGGAAAATGGTCTTTTGAATTACTTACCAAGTGGCAAGGGTAATATTACTAGTACTTCAGCTCCGAATTCTCTGAAACCTTTGGTGAATGGTGATGTGAAGGCTGCTGTAACGTCTATCCAAGCTGTTTCTAGAAGCACTCCAGCAACACCAGCCGGCTCAGTACAAGCGGTTGCATAAAGTTTTTCCACAGTTTCTTCATAGATTTCTTCTCCTTTAATCCTACCGAAAGGTAGCTTTCTGAGACAATGTGACGTTATGTCATCGTTTCGAGAAGCAGGAAAATGAGCTCAAGAAAGTATTCATTGTTGTTAAACGGGTAATGCTTTTTATTGCTTTTTGAACTCATGTTAGGCGTTCCTTATTTCATTTGTATTATCTGACTTTCTAATTCGAGCTCATGGGCGATTACCCCAGTTTTTGGTGCCGGAACTTATTTGAGGCGTGCGAGAGATTTATAGATTTTCACTTGAGATTGTAGCGTATATTTAGATTCTGCATGTCAATCAGGTTCAAACTTGATATACTGTGTTGGGGAAGGCGGGAAAAGGGAGAGGGAAAATTTGTGAATAGTTTAAGAGAAGAGGAGATGTGAAAAAAAAGTACAACTTCTGTAAGCCGTGTCCTTCTTCGTTTTTTTTCTCTTCAGGTTTACTCTCAACTTTTGTTGTCGTGATTATTGGAAATTTTTTAAGCATGATCATTTCCAAATGCAGTTCATTGTTTATGTTTACTGGTTCGGTACACGATGGTCCATTTCATTGTCTTTGGTCGCCGAAACAATAAGTTCGGCACAGCATGCGGTGTTTTTTTGTCGTCTACTTTTCGTGGTAATGATAATGTCGGATTTTATATGTGTATATCAGTACCATTCAATGATTTCATATCCTATTTCGTATACTCGTTAACGCTTAATATTTCTACCCATTGTTCTTGGTTATCAATTATTCTCCCCGGAAGGACACAACTTATTGTCTTTTTGTTTATCCTTGTGCTTGAAGTATGCCTTTTTGCCATCAACATGCACAGACTTTCATGTTTTCGCACGTTTGAAGAAAATGTTGTTTTTAAAGAATTTTGTTTTAAGAGGATAGTGGCAGTTCCATTTTTTCGATTTTGTTGCTTATGTATTATATGATGCATGGCTAGCAGTTTCAAATTCCATTTTAAGTAATTTCCAGAAATATAGATTTTCTCTTAATTTGTTGTGGAGCTATAAAAAGGTTCTTCAATTCTTTCAAGTATTTTCAAATTTGGAACTAGTCAGGATCGCATAATTTTGCTTTTCCATGAATTGTCCTCACGGTTGGTACTCTGTTAAATGGTGTTACTGTGGATTGTTCTCACGATCCTTACTACCATTGAATACTGCTGGTATTATTTAATATATTTCCTTACATTTATGTTCTCTTGTTCATGTTGATTGAGCTGTTTTCGAAATGGTTTGTATTATTGTTATTACGTCGTTTTATTTATTTATTTTCGACTGTTTTGACACGAGTTTTGACATAAAAGTATTATATAATATGTTTGCAAATCTTTCAGAAAATCAATTTCCCCAACGGGAGGGGCGGTAACTTCCGTTCTGCTTCCATCTCCCTTATGTAAGGTTTTGCTTTACATTTACAAAAAATTGGTTTCTTCGTTAAATCGCGGAAAGCCGTGCTATTATTGTTTCTCAAGTTTGTTCTGTGATCATGCAAGCACTCAGGAGATTTGTTCCCTAGATTTGCATAGGAAGTTCGGGGAAAAGGATTTCATATTTGGTATAGGATGCTTTGTCTACAATCTTTTTTCCGCCACATGTACTTCCGGAGGTAATAGTAATAGTTGATACGAATTGTATGGAGCAAGTGAACGCTAGTTAGCCGTCATACACGCCCAAAAGGTTTAAGATTATAGTGACACGATGGTATGCTATGCATCAAACGAGTCGGTTTAGTTTCGGCATTAAACAGTTCAGTACATAACCGAAAAGCAGGTTTACTCATTAGTGGAGGGTGTTGAAGATTATTTATTCCTCTATTTCTTTGTTGTCTGGTTCAATTTCCGAAAATCGGTTGAAGTTTCGAAAGTTCGAGGAACACTAAAGTTAAAGTTTCAAGAAGTTTGGCGTAGAACAGTGTTTCGAAGTTGTCATTTATTTAAACGAACAAAGAATCAAATATGCTGTTAAACAAACACACTGAATCATTGACGGGGATGAGTGGCAATCACTATCATCATCAAACTGTTGTGAAGTTGTGTAGTAAAAATGGAGCAGATCCGTAGCCATTCGTATCACGTAATTAGCATAAGTTTAATATGATCGATCTTCATTTCCACATATGCTAGTTGGTTAACAGTTAAAATTAATAAAATGAACGGATGGAGAAAGCTGTTGATAAAACGTGCAGAGGTATAATACATGAACAGCAAACATTTCTAAAAAGTATCGCAATACGGACTGGAAGAAAAGGAGTGAGGGCAAAGCCGAAGTATATACATTATATGATTTTGCAAAACGGCTTACTCTTTCATCGTTAAAAAAACCTAATTGAGGAAACATGGGAAATGACAACAGCGGTTCGAAACGAAAGAATCAAGAAAAACAAGTTAATCATTTTGGTGAAAAAGAATCCATAATAAAAAAATTAGAAAGATTAAAAACCCATAGGATAATAATATAGCGAGTTGGATCTGCGACTAAGGCGAGGAAGTAAAAATACCAGAAACAAAAATTGCGAGAATTAAATAGAAGAAATATTTATGAGTGAGATAAATTTAGAAGGAAAGTTACTGCCATTCCTAAAACAGAAGCATCGATCTAGATATCAGCAATGTTTTAGGTTATCAGTTAACTTTTGATAATTAATATCCTTACCAATTTCATCTTTCAACTTATTTCTTTCTCACTTCCCACCTCTCTTTCATTATTACAATTTTGGTAATTTCTTCTTCCGAGTCATATTGTTTTTTAGTTTAATTTCTAATTTATTGGCTATACTTGAGTGTTATTTTGTCCCTTATCCTTCTTGGTTTAATTCATTTATCTTTTCTGCTATTTTTACTTCCTCACCTTAGTCACAGACCCAACTCGCTATATTTTGACCAGCGATGTTTTAGGCCATTCTTTTTAGGTTGTCAGCAAGGAATTTTTATCCCTGACTCCACTTACCGTACAGTAGAAGATGGAAACGACATGAAGTTGAAGGTCAGTCCGGCCTTTGCGCTGTCCTTCTTCGCAGTGAAGTCGGTACCGCAGTACAGAAAAATGATGGTTAGCTTTCATTGATTTATGTGAAGCAAAAAAATGCTGCAATTCGTTTGGCTGACGTTTGCTCGTGAGATGGTTGCAAATGATGACACCATCAGATTTGTGTTAACAAAGGTAAGGGTGAGCAGCAGTATGAATTAAGTAGTGTAATGAACCAAACATAGACTGTTCTCTTCAGCAACTAATGAAGCACTTCTGGAATGGATACTGTAAGTGATGAACGTAATTCCTCATTTTTATGTGGCTTTTGAATGTTGTACTGATCAATGATCATCTCTGTCATTTCCTTTCTTTTCCTGCTTCTTCGAAGAATGAAGAGGAAAAACATCGAACAATCAGAGTTACTCCTTTATTTCTTAGCTCATCAATATTTAATGTATCCCTTTGCTAGTTTCATAAGTTGTTTAGATCCTTCACTGCCTTCACAACAAATATACTATCAAGAATTTTGATTGATAAGAGCGCCCAAATCGCAGAATCTATCCCATTTGCTCTATATATTGTCCAATTTCCGCAAATTATTGGTAGTAAGGTTGATCCATTCCCTTTTTCTTTCCCCTCACTAAATCATGCCAAGAATGAAGAGAAAAAACATCAAAGTTTGTCCAAATCTTTTTTGAAAAAACACATCGGTTTATTTATTTTTTCTGATCAATTCTTAATTAGCATAATCTGGCGGGTGTCAACTGATTATTCATTTCAGCTAGAATATATTTATATAAATTTCCCACCATTAGAAATAAACGATTGTATATGTACACATCGCGAACTCACATCCTATATTTTTGTTACGCCCTTATCAACAGATGTATGGATTTTTAGATAAAAATCGTTTTTTTAGAAATGCTTCAGTAAGTCACATCGGTACATTATTATGGAACGCGGCGGGAGTAGAGAAGGTCTAATCAGCAGCATTCAGGTAGAGAGATACCTAATCACACCTCATGAAAATAAGATGCTGTGAAATGTTACTAGAGTTTCCCATTGTCGTGAATGTTTGCATGTCGAGCTTGGTTTGAAGCGAGTCATTGTCACGCATCTCTAGTTAGTTAATTCCCACGCTTGGTGATATCAGAGGATGTGTGTTGGCGGTGTTTGTGGGAATTTTGAGATTTGATAAAATTGGAGAGTTATGAATATAGAGCTAGAAGCGAAATTTTTTTTTATATCAAAGTAATGGATAGATGGAGATCAGAGTAAAAAGGTAAGGAAATGAAATCGAGATTTATTATAAATTTAATTTTTGCAGCACTTCCTTCTTTGGTGACTGACGTTTAACTAGAAGTTAGACCGGTGCAGGTGCTGTGGGTTTAAGGCAATATTGCGACGCAGTGGATGCGGTATAGTCGTGGACTTGGAGAAGCGGAAACGAAAATACGGTTGGAGGAGTCTCAACCACTGATGAGCGAGTCGGTCGTCAGTACCAGTAGGGACGACATCTTTTTGTTGCCTCTAGCAAATACATCGCCGTCCTCCACAGTGAATCGTTTCACGGGGATTTTCGATACCATCATGTTCAGGTTTGTTATTTTTATAACAACAAATTTTCCGAGGGTTCACGTATAAATTTTTGACTCGCATAAATTCTTATTATTTTCACTCATAGTACCACGGTAAAATTGCAACTTCTTCCTCTTTCGTAAGTATTGCTAACAAGAGGAGTAAAACATATCGTGGAAAGCTCAAAGTACCACCCCCCCGGTTCTATAGCCGGCATTTGAGTTTGTAAGTGAGAAGGAAATTTGTTACTAAGGAAAATTTCCATATAAATAAACAGATTCAATGAGATGTGTTCTTCCGAAGATTGATATGACTTCAGGTGCTGTTGGAATTTCCTCCGTAGGCGACGCATGTTGTATTCTCGAACAATAAGAGTTGGTCATGGACCGATATTGGGTTCGGCACATTCGTTTCCTCCCAACAC